GTGGCAGTTGGGTGCATGAGGTGTATGAGTGTTGATTTCTGGTGGGGTGATGGTGGTGGTGGAGGAGGTAGGGAGTGAGTGAATGTGTGGTGTGGCCGGCGGTTGTCTACCGCAGGTCGTCGTGGATGCGCATGTGGCCGAATAGGCCCATGCTATGTCTGAAAGTGTGAGGGCAGTGTGGGCAGTTGAGTCGAGTGTGGCGGGTATAGGTTGATGCTCCAGGCACTGGTTCTCAAGTCTCTGTGCGATGGATTCGCAAGTTACCGACCGGGCCGATGCGGGAGGTGAATGTGCGTGGACAGTGTGGGCAGGTGAAGTCGGTGGTGTCAGTGTCAGCTACAGAGGAGGCGGTGGTGGTGGTGGTTGTAGTAGTGATGGTGGTAGTGACGGGCGCGCAGGACGATGAAGCGAGGGTGGGGCTGGGCATGGTTGGTGTGTTTGATGTGGCGGGGTTGTCGGAGTTGCGGTCAATTCCGCTCTCGTGGATGCGCATGTGACCGAATAGACCCATGAGATGTCTGAAAGTGCGAGGACAGTGTGGGCGGTTGAGCCGAGCTTGATGGGTTTATGTTGCCGCTCCAGGCACTGGTTCGTCAGTCTCTGTGCGATGGATCCGCAAGTGATCGGCCAGGCCGATGTGTGAGGTAAAGGCGCGGTCGCAGTGAAGACAGGTGTAGTCCTGAACCTCATTGCTGAAGTCGGAGGCAGTGAGGGGATGTCGATTGCTGTGTCAGGGTTGGTGATATGCGTGAAGGCCGCCTGAGCTGCAGCCGTTGGTGCAATGGAGGAGTACGAGTAGGAGGAGGTGGAGGAGGAGGAGGTTGGGGAGGAGGAGGAGGAAGAGGAGGTTAGAGATGGCGGCACAGCAGAATAGTCAGAGGTAGTTGGCGGCGGAGAGACGAGGAAGAGGCCAGTGGATGGACTGCGGCTGGTACGGTCCGAGAGTTACAGTTGATCCGAAGATGTCCAATAAGTCTGATTCGAGCCTGAAATGTCCTTTGACACCGAGGACACGTTGGTAGCGGTTGTGCGTCGGCGTTGCGGACTGGGCGAAGTTGTGATTTGCGTGCATCGCGTTTCATTTTGGCGGCGGCGATGCGGTTGGCTTCATAAATAGCAGCGCCCTTCTTCACTGTTCTCCAGATCGGGCGATCGCGGGCGAGCTCTTCCCAGTTGGTGAGGTTGATTTGCAGACGCTTCAGGGAGGACTTCAGGGTATCCTTGTAACGGCGAATTTGGCCTCCTTGACGGCGAGACCCGTCGCGAGGTCTCCGTAGAAGAGTCGTTTGGGTAGATGTTCGTCGTTCATGAGCACCAGGTGGCCGCTCCAACGCAGCTACATTTGTCTCAGCATGGTGTAGATGCTGAAGATTCCCGTCCGTTCCAGCACATCATTGTCGAGGATTCGATCCTGCCAGTTCAGCCTCAGGATGCGTCGAAGACAACTGAGGTGGAAGGGGTTCAGTCGGCGTGCCCGTTTCGTGTAGACCGTCCAAGTCTCCGCTCCGTACAGCAGCGTCGGTAGGATGATGGCCTTGTATATCTTCAGTTTCGTGCTCAGTTGGAGACCGTGACAATTCCAAACTGTTTTTTTTTGGAGGCGGTCGAAAGCTTGACTGACTTTCGAGATCCTGCGAGCGACTTCGTCATCAATTATGGTGTTGTGGGAGAGGGCGCTGCCCAGGTACGGGAAGTACTCCACCACTTGCTGATTTTCGGCACCTTGGGAGGAGTACCTGTGTTCGGTGGCGGTTGACGCATGACCACCGTCTTCTGCATGCTGATGACCAGACCGAAGTTCTCGCAGGCGGCGGAGAATAGGTCCATGCTCCGTTGCATCTCCTCTTCTGAGGTGGTGTTCAGGACGCAGTCGTCGACGAAGAGAAGTTCGTGAACAGTGGTTGTAAATATGCGCGATTGGAAGTGCATCCGCCGTTGACTGAAGAGGTGGCCGTCCGTCCTGTAGGCGATGCGGATCCCCGGGCGTTCATCACGGTAGGCGTCCATCAGCATGGCAAAGAACATAAGACTGATGAGGGTAGGCGCCAGCACACAGCCCTGCTTCACTCCATTGGTCACTGCGAATGCCTCAGAGACAGCTCCGTTGTCCGTGACTCGCGCCATCATACCGTCGTGCAGTTGACGCACCATCTGAAAAAATCGCTCCGGACAGCCGAATTTCTGCATGATCTTCCACAGTCCTTCACGATTCACCGTGTCGAAGGCTTTCGTTAGGTCTACGAAGGTAGAGTACAGGTGGGTCCGCATCTCCTGACACTTCTCCTGAAGTTGACGGTCGGCGAAGATCATATCCGTGGTCCCGCGATGACGACCGAAGCCGCATTGACTTTCAGGCAGAAGGCCCTGTTCCAGGGGATTATTCAGACGATTGAGGAGGATGCGAGCAAAGATCTTCCCTGCGATGTTTAGCAAGGAGATGCCACGGTGATTGTCACAGACTTGGAGATTCCCTTTGCGCTTGTAGGGATGTATGATGGTTGCGTCTTTGAAATCTTGCGAGACTTCGCCTTGACGCCACATCTCCTGGAAGAGCGCAGTCAGTTGGTCCATGAGTTTGGGAACTCCATGCTTGTAGACCTCAGCAGGGATTGCGTCCGATCCGTGTGCTTTCCCGCTGGAGAGCTGGGGTACGGCCCTGATGGTTTCCTGGAGAGATGGCGGAAGGTCGAGGTCCAAGTTGGTCTCCACTTGCGGCAAACGGCCGATGGCGGCGTCGGAGATGGTGGAAGGACGGTTGAGGACGCCTCGGAAATGCTCGGCCCATCGTTGTAGGATTTGTGTCTTCTCAGTCCGGAGGGTGCTGCCTTTGGCGCTGAGGAGAGGAGCAGTGCCTTTGGTCGGCGGATCGTAGACAGTTTTAATAGCAGAGAAGAAGTTCTTCCATTCGTTACGGTCCGCGTAGCCTTGGATCTCCGCAGCTTTGCGAGCAGTCCAGGCGTCCTGCATCTCGCGCAGCCGTTGTTGAAGCTGGCGGCGAATGCGGTAGAAAGCAGCTTTGTTATCCTCAGTGGGGTGATCTGCGTAGGCTTTGTGTAGGCGGTTCTTCTCAGCAAGCAGATTTCTGATGGCGGCGTCGTTGTCGTCGAACCAGTCCTGGTGTTGGCGGGGAGCGCGACCGAGGACGGCGAGTGCCGTCGACTGGACCGTGTCTCGCAGTAGACACCAGCGGTTCTCCACGGAGGCGTTCTCGGCTGCGGCGGAGTCGTCGGCGGCGGCAGCGATAGGAATGTTGTCTAGCCGTTGAGCTAGCTCATTGCTGAAATGAAGATGGTGAGCGGGCAAAGACAACAAGGCAGTATTCAGCTTACATGGGGGTCGCTTACCGTGTGGTCTCCTGCGAGACTGTAGGCGAATACGCATCTTCGAGATGACGAGGCGATGGTCGGTCCACCCGTCAGCACCCGCGATCGCCTTCGTCACCAGCTCGTCCCGCTGATCTCGCCTCCGGACGAGGAAATAGTCCAGCAGGTGCGACTGACGCGACCGAGGATGCCTCCAGGTGGCCTTCTCTCGCTCCGGTAGGCAGAAGAACGTGTTCGTCAGGATGAGGCGGTGCTCTGCGCAGGTGCGGAGCAGCAGCAGACCATTGTCGTTTGAGCCGCGGAGACCGTGGGGACCCAACGCTCCTCTACAGGCAGTATGGTCTGTGTCGACGCGGACGTTGAAGTCACCAAGGACAATCCGCTTGTCCGCCTTCGACACAGTCGCCAATAGGACGTGCAGGTTCTCGTAGAATTTGTCTCTGACGGCGTCGGGGCTGCTCATCGGCGGAGCGTAGGCGCTGATGATGGTGGCGAATTTGCCCCCACCCCGGAGAGGCAGGCGGAGGCTCATCAGGCGATCGTGATGCCCTGCAGCAGACCTGGCAGTCGTCCCACGATGTCGTTCCGGATGGCGAAGGCGACACCCGCGTCTCGTCGCTCTGCCTTGAGTCGACCACTCCAGAAGGTGTAGCCGGCACCCACTTCCTCCAGTTGGCCTTGTTCGGAGAATCGGGTCTCGCTGAGTGCGGCGATGTCCACCTTGTAGCGCGCCAGTTCTCGTGCCAATAGAGCCGTCCTTCGTTTGTCTAAAAGGGAACAAACATTCCAGTCTGCCAAAGTGGGCGGGCTCACCCTGCCAGTCTGGCGACTGCGGCGGCGAAATGTAGTAGTAGGAGATGAAGAAGGATAGGCTGGAAGAGGAAGAGAGTGATTGTTGTTGTTGTTGTTGTTGTTTCGGTTTTGGCTGTTTCGACCGTGTGTTTTTTGTCTGTGGCCAGCCTACAGACAGCGTGGCTCCCAGCGATCTATAGGGCACCTTTTCTAGCCGCCTCCCCCTCGCGGGTGCAGGCAACGCATCCCTGAACAGGGCTGCCCGGTTATCCGAGACGGCTGCCGGACTCCACTTTGGGTCACGACTTTTTGTTAGTGAGAGGACGACCCGAATTATCCTGGGACTTTGTTGGTGATGGTGATGTGATGGAGTGAAGTAGAAGGGAGCATGCACACAACCAAACGCTATGGGATTTAGAACTAGAATGGACAAGCAGACACAGTCATCAGTCAGAGACAGAAGTGAGAGGGCACCATTCAAGTGTCAACCACCGTAACACTTAGCTATTAGCAGAGAGAGGCATAGGTTGACAGAAAGACAGTCGCAGCAGGCATCGAGAGTTTCATCTATCTATTAACAGACAGACTAACATATAGAGGGCAGGCAACAAGGGCAGCATACAACACGAAACTTCAACAGACAAAAGGAAGAAACAAAGCAAATTCACTTACCTGGTGGCCTCCTGCGATGGTCTAGGCAGAGCCTCGTCTCGACGATGTCGACGCGAAGATCCATCCGGCCAGAGGAGACAACCGTACCGTGTGAGCAGTTTTACGCACAGATACCCTCACCTGGTTTAGCCCGCCGGTCGAGGCGGTTGCCCGGGGTGTGGTCGCTAAGCAGAGCCCAGCTACGTGGAGCCACAGGTGAGAGTTATGTGTCAGCAAGTGGACGCTAGGCGTAGTCTCACCTGCAAGCAAGTGAGCGACCACTACGACCATCACGTGAACCCACCGCTGGACACCCCTACACCCCACACACACACACACACACGACAGTTCGTCCGTCGATTTCGACGATGACCACCGTGTGCCCCACAGACTGCATTGTGGGAGCAGGGACGGTGACTTACGCAGGGGTTTATAGTGCCGGTAGACTTGCGTAGCATCTACCTACACTCTCTCCTTCTCCCCCACCTGGACCCGGTGTCAAGACAGAGTCAAGAAGACCGGAGACGGGGGAGGCCGCAGGTGGATGGCTCGGACGGATCCTCGCCTTGGCGCTCCACTCCGCACCCCCTGGTCCTCACACAAATGACCAGGATTTTGACCACAAGACAATGGGGTGGCGGCAGTGGTCCAGTTGAGCTACGAATGCCGACAACAGGGTCCGCCAGCGCACCCCGCAAATGTTGGCATTTGTTATTGCGCACAGATAACGCCTGCCAGAGTCCGATGTGGCCCCCGTGTTGGTCCAGCGCATCTAACACGTGGCCCGTTTGGAGGACACACACACACACTCAGTCATTATAAAGGTCGCTTGGGGCTTCATGAAAACCTGCGGTCAATCACCGCAGTTACGAAGACATTACCACACATTCCCTCAATCAACACATACTCATCGCACACATCCCTCTAAAATCCCACATCCTCCGCGCCTCTCACGTAAATGTGACGTGTGCTTTTGGGCTCCTTTCTCCGTATGATTCATCTGCTGTATGTGCGATTTGTGCGTTCCATGTCCCATGTGTGTGTGTGAAATCCTGGTGTGGGCATTTGGAGGGGTCAAATCGTGTGTGTGGCGCGCGCAGACCAGCCCACTAACTGTCAGCAACTGCGCATATCCTGACCGGCTCGGACAGTGGCTAGTGCCTGGGAAGGGGAATAGAGTGTGAGGTCGACGTCCCAGCGTATTCCTTTTCCTATAAGCAGCCTGACGCGCTTGAAGCTACCACGGGCGCTAAAAGCCGTGGCTTGAATGGTACCGACTGACGGGATAATATGGGCCACGCAGTCGGCCCAGTGCTGCTTGTTTGCGTGGGATGGCCTACTGATGTACTAAGAGTCAGGCTACAATGACCCCTTTTTAATGTGGCCTATATGGCACTCCCGATCCGTGAGGTCCAGATGGGGGCGTAGCGGCACGCCTAAGGACGGCTTCGGCCGCGCCAGTCACCTGCGATCTCTCCCACCTCCGGTCTTCTTGATTATGTCTTGCCAAGGTGGGGGAGGGGGAGGAGAGCGTGTGGCAGACACTGCGCAAGTCTGCTACCACTATAAACTAACTCACGCACAAGTCACCGCGCCTGTTCACGCCCTACTGTGGAGCATACGGCGGACATCGTCGGGCCCGGCGGTCGATCTGTCATCATGGTTGACGGACAGTCTTTCGGCCATCAGTCGCATGTCCAAACGACGGCCCGATGTAGTTGATGCTGGGCACGTGCGAGCCAAATGACTTTGAGCTCGACGCGAGGGCGTGCAGACGACGTCGGCACGTCCGTAGTCGGCGCGCACACATGTCGCGCGGCTTGGCAGCGGACGCACACTGTCGTGCGTGCCGACGTCGCGTGTCCACTGTTGTTTCTGCTGCTGCCGATGCTGCTGTTGTTACAGTGGCACGGAGCTGGAGGACGTGCGTGTCGAGTTGAGAACAAGGCGAGTCAGCTAGGGTCTCGGCACAGCCTCTCTCCCTCCCCCCTCCCCCCACTGTGTGGCCTGCAACACTCGTGCTCACAACCACACACACACAAAACTGTTTCCCTTCGCTCGCCTTTTGCACCGAAGCTTGCATAAGGAGCCCTGCAGAACTAATTGCGAAACTTCACCAGCGCTCGCCTGTATCCCAGATAGAGCCGTGTTGGTTGCTAACAGGTTTTCGCGCCAGCAATAGTCCCGCCTACAGATCAAAGTGCACTAGGTCAGAACTATGTTCACTTTGAAGCGCTGTTTTCTCCGAACAAGGGAAAGACGACGAATATGCAGGGACATAAAATCTGGCGGACTCTTATTTCAATGCGTGCGGCTATTGCATATTAATGAGGTAAACCGTCCAATTAGAAATCGGTCCAGAGGGACGAAACGTGATGAGTCAAACAAAAAATTGAATGTTGGTCTGCCACACGGGTGGGCACAGTGAGGGGGGAGGGAGGTCGTCTAGGTGGGCGAGTTCAGGCTACAGCGAGGACACATCAAGCCTGCACAGCACTGGAGGAGTTAGTGGCTTAAGGGGGGAAGTGATAGGACGGGGGACGGAATAACCCTCTCTCCCCAAGGGACGGGGGCTCACTACTCAAGGTCATAAACTAGGCACAGGCAACGATCAAATTTACGATCGAGCATGAGAAGAACGACACACTGTCGTTCTTAGACGTTCATGTACGTAGGCTGACAAACGGTCTTTTTCAACGACCCTTCTATCGAAAAGTTGCCTGGAAAGGACGGTGCGTGCACTTTCTTAGTTTTGATCCAACACAGGGAAGAAAACGGAACTGGACAATGTACCTGTTAAACAGAGCCATTAGAATCTGTTCCTCAGGAGGAGATCAGTTTTCCGAAAGACGTTTTATAAAATCAGAGAAATTAATTAACAAGTATGGCCATCTCAGACAAGAGACTCTAGCAGAAGTGTCCGTGTCAAAAGTCGGTGAGCATCTACCTCCCTTTCAATTGTGATAATGTATCAAACGTGATCCACCGGCGGTTTCGCTGCACGACTGAACGGACGTACCTCACCTCCAACTCTTTGTTCATAAGAATTTCAGCGGCCATTGCGTGAAACCACCTTAAGACATCCTGCCCATTCACGCAACACCCAACTGCTTCTACGAGTTTACACGCAGTTTTGAACGCAGATACGTTGGACGCATACAAAGGCAGTGGGCAACTCGGTTACCAGAAAACACGCCAAAATGGCTGCTGAGAGCCGGAAAGACCCTGCGACCAAATGTAATCTTTTGCTTGGAGTGACGCCTGGACGGCCCTTGCGCTTTGCAGTAGGAAGGAGAAAGGTAAATTGTGCAAGCATCTGAATCACGTGATCAAACCCGCGGTGCCGTGGTAAGGCTGCGTGACGACAATAACCCAAAGCCTCTTCTTCCCCCTCCTCCTCCTCCTCCTCCTCCTCCTCCTACTCCCGTATCTCACTCTCCTCCCCGAATCATTAACTGCTGTACTTTGCTACGCCATCATAATCAGGCTTTATGCGTTGCCCAGGAAACCTGAGCTCGCTCACCTAAACGACTTCGCTCCCCCCTAGCTGTGCCCACCCGCATGGCAAGTCTGTATTCCACGTGTTAACTTGCCTACCGCGTTTCATCCCTCAAGGCCGTTTTCTAATTGGGTGGTGCACGTGAACCGTGCTAGTTGAATAATAGGCCGTAAAATTTCATGACGCCATTATATGAACTTTGTCAGTCAGAGTGTAAAGACTCATCCAAGCTCATATTGACCCAACTGTGAAAAACTCGGCCCCTCGGTGGGATTCGAACCCAAGCAGTAAGGGGGAGGCTTTAGTACAGCCAACGCGCTAACCACTTGAGCTGCGAGGCCCCGCTGGACGACGAGAGTTTAATCACATTTGGGTCAAGTTACCCGCCCACCCTACTGCAACGTCTGGAATCCACCAAATCTGATACAGTAAGTTGACTGGCCAAGCAGGATTTCCTAATTAATCCACCTAGACTCCAGCAGATGACTACCAGGCTCACTTAATTAATATATGTTTTTGGCGGATTTTGAATAATTTACTTGGATCCAAGAGGGAGGCTTTATTACAGCCCAACAAATGTGATTAAACTCCCATCGTCCGGTGGGGCCTTGCAGCTCAAGTGGTTAGAGCGTTGGCTGTACTAAAGCCTTCCCGTTGCTGCGTGGGTTCGAATCTCACCAAGGCGCCAAGATTTTCACAGTTGGGTCAATATGGATTATTCAAAAATCTGCCAAAATATCTATGGACTCATCTAAACATCAACCGTCATTTTCGAGAAAAGTGACTGTCCACGACGAAACTCAGCAACGAATATGCCTTTGATGAACAAGAAAACCTTTCTTAATAAGTTAATAAGTGCTTTATTATTGCACTCCGTTGACGGATCTCCGTGTTCTTTAAATTTTGGCACGGTGAGGTCAAGTAAAAATTTGAAACTTGTGGCTGTTTCTCTCACGTTCCTAAACAATACTGTTTTTTTTACCATAAACGTAAGAACATGCCTCTCTCTATACGTTCAGGCCATTTCCATTGTTTTTGCTCGCTTTTAGACTCCGTTCTTCGAGCGCCTATATAAATACTGATATTTTGCTGAAACTATTGATGTTTTGCTCGTTCTTTTTCTGAATAAGTTATGCACAGAAAATAAACTACACGACAATCAGTGCGGCATATGTTTAAAGCTGGAAATGACTATTCGGTGCTGGTCACTTATGTGACATCAGGTAGAATTTTTCAAGCAGCAAAACAATTTCAGCCCATTTAAACAAAGGAATCCCTGTCTGCGTTATTACTGCACTTTAGGGCATCAAATCACAAAGATCTGCTAATGTGACATTTAGGAAATGATAAAACCTCCGGTTTTCTTAAAATAACCTTTGTGTTAGCAGGTTGATCACCACGGTTAACATCGGAAATCAAGAACGTTTTCAAGTTCGGCTAAATCTGTTTATTAAAACTCTCGCAGGTTAATAACTATCTTTCAATGAAAAAGTCGCTCCGATACGTAACCGGAGCCTAGGACATGTATTAGCATGGGAAATTGCACAAATATATTCCAACGTCCATTTTTACTAAAAAAATTATATTTTGCTTGATATAATTACGCGAACACAATTTCTGCACAAGAAAAGGACATTTTTTGAAATATGTGGATGAGCGAACAAAATGCGCAGCGTTAAAAACGTCCAAAAATTCTCGCATCAGTTTCCATTATCGGATTCTATGTGATAGGTCACGCACTTTATAACCATTCCCACTTCATCTGGAATCAACCCTCAGTACGCACTGTATCCTGCAAACACGGCTGTCCCCGACACCTCCCCAACGTCATTACTGAATGTCGCTCATAATATCTGCGAGTACGGTACCTCCAGGACCAAACCCCAGAACAGTACTGGCGCGCACATTTCCTACTGAACCCTGAGATGTTTGAGTATAGCACACCGTCCGTTTAACTATACGCTATCATGATTAAAATTTGGACTATACGTCAGTTGTTGCCATTCAAAGTTACCATCTTATTCTTTTTTCGACATTAGGATGCACGCTGTCACTAAGGAAATAAGCTAGGCAAACATACTTCTAAATGTGTCATTTTCGGGCTAGATAGCCACCCTTCGGCTGAAGTCTTGTAGTCCACGCAAATAAATGTAGTAAGCTTACTATTAAAAGTAACATTTTCGGGACCAATAACTACTTAATTTACACTTCTGCCCCACAAATCTAAGTAGCAATAGCTCAAGTACAAATGTTAAGTGGGTGGGGTGGGTATTTGTCGCTGCGGCTTCTTTGTCATTTCTGTGACGACCACCCTATGGTAAAAATAAATTAAAGCTTATTTATAGCAGTTCTCTGCTCAGTTGAAACGTGGAACTCCGCCCAATTTTCGCATTGCCTTCATCTTTTCTTGCCGAAGTAGTGGATTTTCGGAATTTAAACCAGCTAACGGTGCCTACGCATGTGAGGGCTAAGTGAGATTTTTCTTTTGGCTTTCATTTGTCGGGAAAGGGTGAGAGGGACTTTAAGACGTGTCGTCTACTGTGCAAGGTCCCATTTTCGGCTGCAGAGAGTTAGAACGTTTCAGCACAAGTTCTGCTGCTTGATTTCTATTCTGTAAGCGACCAAACTACTTTCTAAACTGCCATCTTGTCAAGGGAAAGTAAAAGTCAATACCGATCAGGAACAAGGGTCGGTCTGTTCATTTGAGGGAGCCACTTATCCAAGAATGAGGACAGAGACTAGTATGATCCAAATCCCTTTTAGAAAATGTGGCAGAGTACATTAAAGGGTTTAATTTTTACAGCGTATGGTACTTCTGACAAATTTTGTTAATGGACGCATTTTTGTTTTACTAAAAACGCTTCAAGAAAGTCATCGTTTTGCAGTTTAATTTGCACATGAAAATAAAAAAACGGAACAAGCGAATACATTGAATGTCACATGATATGGACCGAATTAAGTAGGTGGAAAAAGGCCCGTTATATTGGCGCCTCTCGATGGAAATAAGAGACGAGTCCCAGGAAGCAGTCCTGAAGACGAAGACACGATCGCCTGAAGTGTTGGATTCCTGCTCGAACCCATCATCAGAGACAATAGCAGGTGTCCTTCTTTTTGCAAATCTGCCTTACCTTTTCCCACTTACTACTTAAAACCGTCTCATGAAGCACCTCGTCTACATGCAGTAGAGCTGCTGCACCTTCGGAGATCATCATCATACAGGTGTTGGAACAGTCCTAGCCAGACGTCAAAAAACTTCTGACCGGCAGAAATACATGTAGCTACAACTCCATTAATCTAAACCTCCCGGACAAAATTATCGGCCTTCAAATCGAAATTGCGTAAACACTTCACACCGGAAGGCATGAGGTCGTTACTGGTTCTTTTCTTTCCGAACACACAGCCTCTGAACTCTGAAAAGGATCCTCTCAGGATTTAATGGCGAATGGCACATGCTTTAATTTTTTTCAAGTGGAGATTCTCACTCAGATTATTACAGTTCCCTGTTTCTGATTGGCTGTCGAACTCTCTGTTATTACCCCTCCCCTGCAAATATAATTTTCACGGGTTTTACTGTCATCTACTCATTTCGAAGCCAAACGATCAAATTCTTCTATTTTTACCCTCTGCCAGTAGTCTGGCCGGTCAGCAAGGAAGTATCTACACGCTTTGATGAGCTTCGCAACCTCTAACGTCCCCTCCTCGCCTAAACCCCGAAACGGACTCTGATCGATCGCGTTGGCTTCCTCCCATCTCGTCACCCTGATGGTTGCTTCTGCAGTCATCCCAAAAATATCATGATCGTATCTCCAGCGAATAGCCTCATCCAGTTTGAGAATTCTATATCGACGAGAAACGTTGCGAACCCCTACATACATTCACCGGCAGGACGGTCCCCTCTAACTCGCATATTTACCTTCCCATGAGCGACAGATTTGTCTCCTTAAAACCTGGTCGTATCATATTCATTTTGCATCTACCGAAAAATGAGGGCGTTTATTTCTCTACTCGGTAACCGTTTTTTTGTCACAGTGACTATTTTCCAAGCACAAACGGATCATCGTACAGTGTTGCCTACTAGATATAAACTTCATTCGCACAAAAGTACCCTTATTGCTGCTAAATAAAACTATTTGCTTATTTATTTATGCGATGCAGGCTTATGTTCAAGCTAAGACCTACCATTGTCAACAGCCAAATCTGTGAGTTCCTTGCTCATGTTTGCACCCAGTATGACGATGTTGCTTTGAACCATAAAACCCTCCCTGAAATGGGGTTGAAATTCATGAATCTAACTAGATTGTGGGAAGAAAAAGCTTTCTGAATGTGAATTCGGCCGAAATCACCTTCAAGTCTAAGGTCTTTGCGACCTGGATCGAGGTACGTTTGACTGTCGATGGTCAGTGAGTCAAAAAGAGTCACGGTCATTTTTCCTGGGTACCGAATACAAGTGGAAACGAATATGCGAATCCCAGGTTCTTGTTGTAAAGAAGATGAACACATGATCCCTGGGACAGTAGGTGCATTAGTCTGAGCTTTCGGTCTCGTACAGTAGGCCATCGTCAGAGACTGTGAGAATGGGGGGCGTCAAATGAACGGTTTTTGTAGTCGAATCCCTTCATCGCTTGAGTACGAAAACTACTCATTTAACGCCGCATTCTCACAGTGTCCGACAATGACCTCCCGAATGCTCCAATCTGAAAACTCCACGTTTGTGCACATTTTAGGATCACGCAACTCCTGCAGGAAAACTTTGGGAAAATCGAGCAGCCTGTAAGCCGTAAATAATAGCTATCAGACAAGATGATTGTTTCGACAAAACAAACACGCTCTCCACGGGGGAGGTTTCTGTCGTGAGATCACTTTTTCACCCACCCTTTCAGAGATTTTAGCAGAAACTCCTGCAGATTTTTGGCTTTCCCACGGTTTCCTGCATCACGCGTTTCTTTAATGGCTTGCACTGGTAATATCGCCCGATGTAGAAAAACGGAAATGTTCGAAATGTATCTCTCGTAGACGGTGGTTTTAATTTTCCTTCTTAGATCTATTTAGAAAATGTCAGCTTCCGGTAAGACCAGGCAGATTGTGAGTAGGTGCCTGGTGCTTTACTGGCGTTTAAGAAATCTGACCGTCCGGCAACGCATGAGAATTTGTTGTGAATTTCAGGAAAAATTTTATTCCGTCAGTAGTAAAGTCGCCAGCTGCCCAATCAGATCGCAATCTCGGGATGGCCAGTCGAGCAAAGCAGCCAATCTACGCTCGGAAGCCGCAGCCAATGAGGTTGTAGCATGCAATGGTCCCAAAAGCAGGGCTCTGATGGCGACACCGCTGCGCATGTGGACATTCAGCGGGAGTATGGATAAGAGCGTGTGCAGAGAGGAGGCACACTTCCTACCCAACAGTCTCTTCTATGCCCGGACACATCATTCAGCCACTCAGCGCGTCTGCACTGCCAGTGGCAACAAGGAACCACCAGCGCCACGCATTCACTGTTTCCTCTGTGAACTTCCCCGCAGTCCCTGGGCTCTCATTTTCGATTATAGCCTGCCCGTCTGCCGGGGCTGTGTTAACTACGAAGGCGCTGATCGTGTGGAACAGGTCATTCAGTGGGCTCTTGCCCAGAAGACCTGCCAGGACTTCCCAGCTGGCAGCAAACAGTCTTTTGGCGGAGAACAGAGTCAGACTACGGGCGTGGCTGCGAACGCCCCCCTGCTTCACCGCTGTGCGCCCCTAACACCCGCCTCCGCCTCATGTACTTCACCGTCCTCGCGTCTTCATCTGACCTCCCCAACCTCCACAGTGAGCGTCAGAGATGAGGCTCCAACCGGTAAGTACACCCATACTGTCTCAACCGCATCCGGTACTGACATCGCCACAGCAAGCTTTGCCAACGTTGCAGGCAACGTGACTGCCACACGAAATACAATCGATGCGATCAGATCCCTGAATGGCAATTCAGCCACAGTTGCGGCAGCAGTTTACTTTGAAGCACTGCGTATCCTAAGGTTGCGTCATGCCAATGAGCCATCCCTGGACTGTATTCGCCTGCCCCATCTGGTGCGCCTACGTACACGTCCCGCCTGTACTGCACTCCTTGTCGGTCTTATGGATTCTAACGCCCTGGTAAGCTGTCGCGAGAGACCCTTCTTTGAATTTCCGCCTGGATCCGGCCACTTGGTTCGCGGACTAGACAACCTGACGGAGGAAATGTGTGCGAGGGAGGGTGATCAGGGTCCTGAGTCAGCGGCCGCGGCAGTAATCGAGGTGGAACTGCCTGCTCAGAGCAACCGGTGGCATAGTCTGGATCGTCTGCTCAATCTTCTCACACCTACGATTGGTCCTTTAGCGCCGGTTATGGAGGAACTTCAACACAAACAGCAGTCAGGCAACTGCAGCCTGCTCTTTCCTAACTCAGACCTCGATCCTGAGAGGCGACAATCCGGGCAGGGACGTTCTTGCAACGATATTACCAGCTCCACCGACAGGGATAGTATTGGTAAGACTGGCAGCGAAGTGGCCGGAGCGACACCGGCGGCGGCGGCGGCGGTGGCGACAGAAAAGGTCAAATGCCTCTTCTGTGCAGTCTGCCTCGAGGGTACACACTTCGTCCAGTGTCCAGCCAAGGCAAACCATCGATTCTGCTTCGTCTGTGCTAGACAGTATCTCCTTCAGGATGTCAGACCTTGGCTGCGCAAAGTTGCAGCCAGCGGTTTGCCGAAGATCTACTGTCCCAGCGGCCAACTGTGCATGCTGCCCGGCTCCAAGAGTCCCTGGGCTCTCATGGAGTCGGAGATTGCTGTCATCTTGGGAGTGCAACCACCAAGCGCATTCAATTCCTCCGGCCTGCCTTGTGAAAAGCGTCCAGCTGCCTGCACAGACCTCAGCCAGGGAGCTGGACTGGGTCTTTCCTCGGAAACTTCCTCCAGCGGTGAAACTCAACGCGCCAAGAGGTCAAGGTCGGGCGACGAAATGCAGGACCAATCAAACACCAGAATGAACGGCAGTAGAAGTAACCTGGAGTCATCACAGACCTCGAAAGTGGCTACACCCGCAACCAGCTGCACTGAGACGGGACCTGCTTCCTCCCCGACGCTTAAACCCGCCTCCCTGCTTCCCGGTTTGAGTAAGGCGGATGATTTGCCGCTTACGCAGTCGCATCCATCTGCACACCAGTCGGTCTGAGAAGTCGTTTAGCGGCCCCCTGGTTGACTGCTTACTCCCCTTACAATTACCGTCCTCTCTCCCTCCCTCCCTCTCCAGACATTCTACCCACCCCTTTTTGTTTCCTTTCCTCTCGACTTTTACCCTCCGTCAGTATATACTCGTCTTTCTCCTTCTTCGCCTCCTCCTCCCCCTCCTCCAGCTCTTCCTCCAGCTCCTCCTCCAGCTCCTCCTCCTCCTCCTCCGTCTCCGATCTTTAAATTCGCCTCCTCTCCGAGTCTGATTCTTCCTGCGTGTGTTTATCTTCCTATCGGTTCGGTTTATTTATCGCGCGTGAGAAACATTGCGCTGGTCGTGCGTGTCTAGGGCTGAATGAGATAGAATTTGGCCACAAAATACATGCATCCAGTTCTACTCTATTTCCTTTTGTCGAATCCCCTAGCCTGCACTCGCGGGGTGACCTTAAAACTGCAGAAGCCTTAGGCAGAATCAATGAACAGACTGGAGTCGGCTACGTGTGCAGGAACTTAATATTTTAAATAGAACCGAGTCAGAGCAGGTTTTGACTTATTTCTGCTGAGAAGTCTGACTTGTAGCCCTCCGGAAATCTGCCGGGGCATATGTATGCGAGGATGCATCTATACTGGGCGTCATTTCAGTCATACTCGCCAAAATATCCCCTTTCAGATACAGATTTCTAAAAAAAGGGCCGTGTGCTACATCCGAGAGCTAACACGCATCTGTCGGGCGCCAACGATTTCAAGGTTGCTAGGATAAGAGAATAACGAGGATGTTCATGAATGCCCTCGTAAAAGGCGATTTAGTGTTTACATCATTGCAGGTTTTCATTGTAAAGGTAGCGCAAAATTTAGCAATCATGTGTGCAGCATCTATGAGATGTGTTACAAAGGATGAAAGTATCATGGAGTCCTCGAAAGTCCAGAATGGCAATTGCGTTGTACTTTCGTTTCCCGATGAGACAGGCCTCAGGGGCAACATATTCCCGGAAAAGCACCGGGGGGAGCGCTAGGGCACCCCTGATGGACTGGATGTCTCGCAGTTGCGTCATGCAGCGGCAGAATATCGGCGCAACACGTGTTGGGGTTTTTAGATAGTGTCTGAGTCGTCACGTATATCATGGTATCTAAAGGTTTTTAAGCGTCTGCCATGCCAGGACCAACAAACCATGACCTCGGATTGACAAAGTTGAGATATCCGGGTTGACTAATTGAAAACGAAGACAGGCTCTCCGGAAGAGGTTTATTTAAGTGCTGACGTTTCAAAGAGCTGGGTCGGCTCTTCATTGTCGAAGCGTAAAATGTACTTAATCGATCAGAAATTTCAAGTGGCATATTATGTTGGTCGGCCTCATGCTGATCGATTTTTCCCTCCTCTCGCTGCCTCGGCCTCTCGGGAGATGGTTAACGGGCGTTTTGCCTGTGTGCTTTGTGAGTCACTACTCCGTCGAGGGGAACTGATTGGACTTTAGTCGGGCGGTTGGTCTGGCGGTTCTTCGTCTTCCTCACCGAGTAGACTCAGCGTCGGGCTATCTCCGTGCGGCCTTCTTAAGTCCGGTGTGGTTGTTTGGTCATGAGCTTTACGATTGTGATGACGTAGGACTTTGTAAGCTGCAGGAAGGTCCAGACGCCTGTTGATAGAGTGGGCATCGGAGAACCACGCCTCGAGAGTTAGTCATTCTGTTTTTGTGTTGCCTCGGCCTAAGATGGTAGCCCTCTGGAGGTCAAAAGTATGCCCCGTTTCTCCAACGTGTGTTGCTAGTTCAGAGTTAGGGTCTAACCTCCGAGTGGCCGCTTTTTGTTCCTGTAGGCGAGTTTGCAACTTCGCCCGGTTTCGCCCACGTAGTTGCAGTCGCCCTCATTGCAATTTATTTTGTAGATGACTGCTGAGGTTTCAGCGGGTGGCAATGGGACCTTCGCAGCCTGGTGACAATTCGGCCCCCCTTCAGTTTTCTCGACTCTACCTTGACACCAGCCCAGGTGGGGAGGAGATAGTGTGGTAGATGCTGTGCAAGTCTATCTTCATTGCCAACTAAAAAACTTGCAAGTCACTCTACCTACTTCACCACGTTGTAAAGCACTCGACAGACATCGTTGGCAACGATGGTTAAAATGTCATTGTACTGCCAATGTGAAATATTACCGTTGAAAGCATAGATGACACAAAATTAGTCCAGTCAAACTAATTGCGGAGGTAGTCAGTTGCATCGACAACAGCAGGGGCGAGGTCTAAAAACGATCGAAGCTCTAACCTCCTGAACTACGATATCCCCATCGGGATTCGTGAGTTCGACCTCATTTGGGACGTGTCACACACCCAGACTACCGCAATGAAAAGAATTAAATAAATTGTTGGATATCAAGCTGACATCCCAAGCAGAATTAGCCAAGTAATCAAGCTAGAATCGACCGGTTGACGCCAAGAGCTTATTAACAAAACTAGTTATCTACGATCGACTCGACAATGATCATCGCTAAAGATGTGCAGTGCGTGACCTATCTCATAAAACCTGATGACAGAAGCCGGTGTTTAAAAGTTCGGGCGTCTAAAACGTTGCGCATTTTGCTCCCCCCTCCAGCGTCTTCAAGGCAATGTCCTTTTCTTGTGCAAAAAATGCGTCCACGTAATTTTCTCAAGCAAAATGTTCACAAATTTGAGCGAAAATGGCGGTTGTGACATAGTCGAGCAACTTCTTAAGCTAATATCTGACCCAGACGTGATCATGCTTTTTTTGACAGGAGAGTCATTCGCTTTTGAGAAAATTACTAGACAGACCTGGCTGCACTTGAAAATTGATTTTTTGTTGATGCTGACCTTGAGAATCACTTGGCTGACACGTAGGTTATTTTCAGAAGCCCATGTGTTTTATCGGTTTTTAACAGCAAATCTATACGCTTTCGTGCCCTGAAGCGCAGCCATAACGTACATAGTTAACCTTTCGTTTAAATGAACAAACTCGTTTTGCCGTTTGGGAAATTATACCGATTGTCAAAGACAGGGCTACCACCAAATAGTCATTCTCAGTTTTGGACACATGGAATATTACTTTTCGTGCGGTTTGTTTGTACATGTAGATAATTTACAGACGGAACGAGCAAAACGCTAGCAGTTACACTTAAATACCGGTATTTATATGTTAACTTTGCCGTGCATTCCTTATCGTAAAACGGATCCTGGAATTGAACTGAGATAACCAAAGTAGTTATAATATAAAGATAAAAGCATGTTCTTCCATTGGCGGCAGGAAAATTATCAACATTTTCAGCAGCCTGAAAGAAACGGTCAAATTGTCAAATTTTCCATTGGCTTCACCGTGCAAGTTGTCAAATACAGCTTCAGTAGAAGTAGAATTCAGAAGACATCTTTTATTGGAGTGAAGTACATAATCTGACTCAGAGACAGCTGTGCCGAATTGGTGTCTGTTGTAGGTTTCAGTTGGGGGTCAATATGGAAAATCCGAATTAACAATTGACTTCAGACTCTCAACTGCGTCTGTCAAAAACATGATCAGCGGCCTAACGTGCTGCACTCGAGGAGGATAGCGTATACAGTTTGTATCCGGATCTGCGTCACTTTGGCGGCGTGTGCAAGGCCAGGAGCAATCGCATATCAGAAGAAACTGTGCCAACTTAGTGATCCCATCCCGCCCAAGACTAGCCAACTATATCATGCTGACCAGGAGAATAAAAGTGTCATACCAAGAAGGAGACACGATCGCTGGACCAGGGGCTTCCTTAGACCGACGTTTCGAATTCCCACTCGAATCCATCATCAGAGACAGAGTCAGATAAGGAGGGCAAATTGTCCAGGGGTTGCAGTATTTATAGGATGTAATTGCTGGGCCGCTATATGCTTATCACAGTTGGCAGCTCCCGAGTGCATCACGGATCGTCTGACTAGGTGTTGAAGAAGTTGTGTGCCGGTCAAAATGATCGGCTCCCGCGCTCATCGCATGCAGTCGAGCTGCTGACTGCCGGATTTTGTCATCCGTGTGGACTCTTGGACAATTTGGCTGGTCGACATTGATACCAGGCACAGTGATTATTCACACGCTCTCCTCGCAGCTGACTACTTTGCCTAGACAAAGTCCAGCGCCGGGCATGAAGCGGGGAGGCCGTTGTGCTTGTTGATTGATTGAGGACCGGAAAACCATGACTCGAGCAGTTCGCATCACACGCAACCTAGACAAAGTCTCAGCGCCAGCTCCCAGGTCGCGGCTCATTCGACGGGACCCGAATTAGGAAAAAGCATATTCTTTGTGGACGTTCATTTTATTCGACGGTAAAATTTCCTATTTGAACAAGTCTTCAAATCTGACCTAAACGACCCTCTGCATGAAAATGAGAACCTAAGCGCTCACTACTTCGGAAATGCCTTCAGCACGTATGTTATTTCAAAGTTTTTAACAAATATGTAATAGCGAATATGACATTATGGGTAGCCGATCGGAATCAGTGAAAATCATGAAATATTCAGCGATATTTCAAGGCCGGTCTGAAACTCAACGTGATCCCAAAGAAACGAAAAACCCAATTTAATTTCACAAAAAAGAGTTCTAGATTTATGCACGAAAGGGCACGCTTGCGATCACACCTGTCAATTTTACTTAAATTCATTAGTAACTGACCGGCCTGGCAACACGTGACGTTATAAAAACTTTTGCTCCTTTGACGGAATTAGGCAAAATCTTGTTCGTACTACTAAACCGCATCTCAGTCAATTCAAAACGCAAAAAATGCCACAGCACCTCAGGAGACCGTGTTGGAATCTATACTCAGAATGTAGGCTGTTGGCAAACCGCCATACCCGATATTACACTAATTCTTAGGAATATTTAAATGCGGGTTTCACTAAAAAACTGGCAAATGTTATTTTGTTTATGACGTCGTATTTACCCAGTTTTTCCATGGGCATGCTTTTCACTCATATAAAACCAAAATTTAGATGACTAAAACTATTTCTGACATTTTTGGAATTTTCCGCTTTTCCAAATTATTTTTTACTTCCAAACAACGTAAAATTACCCAAAAAATTTCTATGATGCTTTTAATTCTCCTAAAAATGCTATTTTCTAGACAAAGAAATTGGTCTGAGAAAAATTAAGTGCTCACCATATCAAGGAATTTGTAGTACTGAAGTCTCAGAAAGCTTGGCTGACTGTCCATTATTAAGGTGTTTAGAGCAAAAATCGACCAGAATTTTTACTAAACGGCCGAATCATTTGGCATGCATTAGTGTGAGT